ATTGACCCATTGCCGATGATAGCGTCCTGCCGATCCATGTTCGGATCATTGTCCTCTGAGAGTGTCGTCTCATCGTCGACACTTCCCTTCGTTCCACCGAAAATAAATTGCATTTCCGTCTCCTATCAACTTCTTCCTCTTTTTTCATACGCCCCGTCGCCGCGGTCGCATCTTCTTCTCTCCACTTTCCTTCTCTTTTCCCGTTACTGTCTCCCTTCTCTTGTCCATTTTCCGGGCACCTCTGCTACTGCAGTTGCACATCCCCTATTTCCTTCTCTTTTCCTCCGCTCGTCCACCAGATCGCCGGCTGGGGAGTCACGCCCTCTTTGTTTTTCATTGATCGGCCCACGGACCGCTCTCCACCTTCAGAAAGGCCCCCATCTTTCTTAACCTTCAGGCTTTCCCGACGCTTATGTTCACGCCTCCACGAGGCAATCTCCCAGCCCCCCAACACATGATTACCTCCTCTGAGATTCCGTCTCGGGACGATAGCCACACATAAAAAATGTAGGGCTCTTGGAGTAATCGAAACTCGATTCGATGCCCCATTTCTTCTTTTGTGCCTATCAGGGTGGTAACCCGCTCCAGTTCAGGTCTCCGACAATTTCCCTATTCTTCCTCCCGCTTATTTTCGAACTCCGTCTTCCAAAAGGACAGTGTCCTATTGTCCTCGGGGCTTCTTCGGCGAAACTCATAATTGGTATCCTTGATAAGTCGCGGAGAAGCTTTGATAGGTCGAAATAAAAAATAAGTAGGGGTCGTTGCTATGCTCGATCCCTTCGGTCGGACACGCCGAACTCAAGGGTGAGTTCCGTGCACAATGCTCAAACGCCCCGTTTCAATTTTGTCCTTGAAATAGCGCCATGAAGACGTCGTGAGTGTCTCCTGTCGCCTTCTCAAAGCCTGTGCAGGGAATACCTCGTTCTGCGATTTTCGATGTGGCGAGGTCAACGAGTTTCTCTTTCTGCCGGTGACTGATCACGTGCGAAAGTCCATTTTGCTGTGGTCATATTGACTTCCGCTCCGCTCTCCCCGACATGTCCAAAAAACATATATAAATAGGTTGTCCTTTTCGGTAACGCGGTGGAGGTGACCTGGGCAGCCGGCTAAAACAACGTCCTTGATCTCTGGCTAGTTGTCGACAGTTACAGCGCACTCGTTGGGTGATAGCGTACACAGAACGCCGCATAGGTACACTGCATGCCCGGTTCGTGTCACGGCGTCGGACCTGCTGGTCGGTTCCGAGATCGTTAATCTTACGAATTACACGAAGCTTCGACATCCGCGTCAAAAAAAATTTTCAAAGGATCGCTGGGAAGTTCTGGCCCTTGAGTTTCCGTTTGCTCGCGACCGGAACCTCTTCAAAAAAACTAACTAGTGAGAAAGTAGATGGCATTTCGATCTTTTAGAGCACGAAATTATTGATGGGTCAAGGTCGACGAGGCGGCGTGCCACGGTTCAGTTCGATCTCCGTTGAGCCGCCTCCGTTCCAACTCCCTGCACTTGGTCGCGGAACAAACATGTTGACGGCGACTCAGGTTCGTTGCCGTCTGGATATCCTTCGCGTTTCGTCCGACGGTCGAACACCACAGTCCTGAAGTGGTGTCCAACTGCCCATCAGGCGTTTGTGAGAAACGTGGTAGGTGTTCTCTTGTTGCGCACGATTTGCGTCTCCAGTTAGCGCTGTCACCGACGGCTGCGCGATCGACAGTAATTCTCTTTTTTTTCCAATTCTCCGAGCTCATCGAGACGATCCTCAACTGCCAGTAGCCCGTAACACGGGGCGTCATTCACTGCCCCTACGTATCTTTTCCAAAAGCCTGTCGGCAGCGATCGTGATCTGGTTGACAGCTGCGACGGGATGCGACTTTGTAGCAGTGTCGGAGCGAGAGCGGGGTTAAATCGCGCTGCGTCGAACAACGCGTTTTTGGTCGTGACAACTACTGATTTCGTAACCAGGACTTCACCTGCACACGTCGACACGTGTATCCACTGACTTGGTCGAAAAATTCATCTTCCCATCGGGGGTGCCCAAGGGTAACTGCTGCCTTCCCTTCGAAGTCAAAATGGCTCTTCGTCTCTGACCCACTCGCTGAATCCGTGCGCTCCAATTTCTCCTCAGTATACGCAGTGGACAATCGGCACTGTCGCCGAGCTTTTGGACCTTCTCCAGGGATGCGGTCCATTCTCTTGCCCGTCCCCGACACGCACTCCTCTTCCTCGTCTAACGATCAATTTTCTTTCGCCTGAGAGAACCACTCCGTTAGGCACGTACGACTTAAACAAAGTCTCCTCGGGACGCATGCTTTCACTTCCCTTGCTAATATCCTCTTGCTCGTGCGATGACACTGTACGTCCTCCGCGTCAAAACCCTGATACTAATTTTTCCCCGGGTATCGGAGGTCCTCTTCCCTCTTTGCCGTTGTTCTCACCCAAATCCTTGACAATTCTCCCTCCATCCACGACTTTTTTCATGCGCCCCCACTGTAGTGCGTCTCCGTTACGCAATTCTTCTCCAACTACAAATTCCTCGTTGCCGAAAAATTTCCGACGTCTTTCTTCCGTCGACCGGAGGTCTTCCTCCTTTCCCACACACCAGCGGTGTTCACATAGGCGTTTGTAGGTAGCGCTTGTAGGAGTCGTCGAATACAATACTGTACCGAGCCTCGCTGTTCAGCTCAACCGAGACAATGTCTTCAATCCTTCATTTCGTCCGCGTGTTTTTGCTTCACGGCTGGGGTGAACGTAAATTAGAAACGTGAGCTATAGCCTCGTCAGCGGGTCGACGGGCGCAGTTGCATTGTGTCGTTGACATTACCAAAAAAAGGAAAAGGAGAACAGGAACGAAACAGAGATTGAGGCAGAAGCAGATCGGCCGACTGAAAAGCAAGCGGTTGATCGCCTTGATGACGACGTCGAGCCAATTCCCGTTGCTGACGAAGTCAACAGAAACGACAAAACAATTTGTCCCCTCCACACGGTGTAGTCTCGCGCGTGAACGCGCACCACTTGTCCTTTGTCTATTCGTGAAAAACCTCACAAGCATTCCCGTTCACACTGATTCAGACGAGCATGGATCCCTGATCTAAACGTCCCTTTGCGTGCACACCCATGCGACGCGTGATCCTACGTAATTTGGGCATTGTCTCCACCTGAGGCTGCAGTGACTTCGTCACTTCCTGATGTAGCGCATCTCGCCGCTCTGTCTCCAAGAGCGTTAGGCCACGCATACCTGCCCGTCTCACCTCATCTTTCCTTCTCGCCATTGCCGATGCGCCTTACTTCCGCTATGCTCATTCCTCGCAAGCTTCGTGCTGTGGTTCACAGCGTCCGTCTCGACTCGACAATATCCCGCATGCGTAATCCCGTCTGGGCGTGCGTGTGTGAGGACCGTCCTTACTCCTCACCACGGCGCGATCCGCAACATACTTTTCAATTCGATAACTTCTCGACGGGGGCATCCCCGTTCGCTACCACGCGAATACCTTGGAGCCTCATAACCCCGCACAAAGTCGATATCCGGTTGCTGATTCTCGATTCGATCACCCTCCAGGCGAGCGATTGTTTTCATCCTATCTCCACTATTTCGGTCGCGGTTCTCTCACTTCTCGCATCCTACACGTCGTCTTGATCTGCCTCGTCCGCGTGCAGTCGCCCATCGACTGCGTCCTCTCCCAACCTTCTACCTTATCTCGAAGGTAGCACACTCGTCAATCTGACGCATCCCCTTCTTCTCCCATCTTCCCGTCACACCCGTTCCCTTGTAGAACAGACTTCTTCCTCGACTCGAGATACAGCTTATAGCCTTAATCACGATCGGCGGTTCGCAATCCCCTGTCGCCCTTGGGCGCCTGTCGTGTTCTCCTGCAACTACGCACGCTCGCTCCGAAATGGTCGATCTAGGTGCGTCTCGGGAAGGGAAAACAAACATAAAAAAACAAAACAACAACAAAAAAACAAAAACAAAACAGAACAGTTAAGAAGGTAAAAGCATAGGAAACTGGTTGCGGCTCGCGTCTTCTTTTCGCTTTCCATCATCACGTTCCGTATGGAGCTCATCCTGGTCTCGCGCGTGCGACCTGCGGCGGGAGGGGCAGTTTCCTCCTCCGGAAATAGGTCACCACTGCGCTGCGCGGTAGCTGAGAGATAGGCCCCCACGTTGCGTCCTCAATCTCGTAGCCATACCATTCCACATTGAGAATTAATTTTCCATCTTGATAAACGTGGTCGACTATTTTGTCGATGACGTACTCCTGACCCCCGGTTCTTTCTTCCTGCGTTTCCAACTGTCCGTCCCCATTCCGAAGAGCCAGCGACTCATCCTCATCCTGCTCTTCCCAACCTCCCATCCCTTGTAAATCGGGCGGGATGCCCGTAGCTTCTTGATTTATCAAAGGTCCGTCATCCATCCTATTCTTCGCTTGCGCGGCGGGTCCTTCTCGTTTCCCTTCTCGGTTGAGGAATTGTAGCGCTTGTCGTAGCCCGACTATCGGCATGTAGTCCATGGGGCTAGGGGCTAATTCGACTCTATCTCGCCACACGCGGTCTTCCTGGTCGCCGATGGCAATGACGACCGTATTCTCAGTTCACTCCTTCACTTGATATGGGCCCGTAGCCACTTGTGCCAACTTATGTTTCGGCTCGGTGGCTGTGCCTTGCTCTTTCCGAAGGAATACGTATGATCCTGAAGGGATGTCATACTTCGATTTGCGGAGCGTTGCGTCGAAATTTCGCTTGTAGCGCGCTTATTCTTTCCGCAAGCTCTTACCAGCGCCTTCCATCAGGCTTTCCAACCACGACTGCCGTTTCAGGTAGTACGCTCGATTCGAGCTTAATCCTTCCAAACTTGGCTGTGCTTGTAACGCAATGCTTCTCGGCGCCCGAGCTAACACCAGCTTGAAGGGCGCGATGTTCGTAGTTCGATGAGCTTGCGTGTTGTATGCGAACGTCACGGCGTCGCTAAATAGGTCCCAGTCCTTGGGATGCTTCCCAACATATTTTCACAACGCGGAAGTCAGCGTGCGGTTAAACCTCTCAACTTGGCCGTTGGCTTGCGGGTGGTACGTAGTCGTGAACACATTGCGTATGCCGAGAATTCGACAGACGTTCTGAAAGAACCGGGCCGTGAACTGTGTTCCATTGTCGGACAGCAGCTTGACCGGCGGTCCGTACACGAATACCCAATGGTGAACGAAGGCTTGTGCGATGTGCGCAGCTGATATCTTCTTCAACGGTACGGTTCGTACCAGTTTCGAATATCGATCGCTGATCACGAGAATATACCGATTTCCTCGTTTAGTTGTAATTAGCTCGCCGAGGATGTCGATGGCGACAAACTCCAGCGGAGCTTTGGGCGTGAACAGCTTCATTTGCTTCGTGTTTCTTCTTAACTTCACCCTTTCCCGCGCGCATGTGGCGCAATTCTTCGCGACTGCGTAGCAGTTTAGGGCCATCGTAGGCCAATAAAAATATCTTCTCAATGTCTTGTAAAGTTTCCTGCCTCCCGGGTGACCTGCCAATTTTGCGTAATGGCTCAACCCTAGGACGCGGTCCCTTAACGATTGTGGTATCAGCACTTGTACAAACTCCGCCGCGGTACGGCATAGAGTTCCTTCGAGTTCCTCGGTCTCCATGCTGAACGTTCTCACCTTTCCAGCGTCCATTTCTTCCTTGATGTGATTGCAGAAGGGGTCGACGGCTTGCTCGCGAATGAGCTCCTCCGGAGTGACAGCTTGGAATTGATCGAGGCGATCAGAGGCGGCCCCCCCTTAAAAGCGAGGATGTCGTCTAACGCGTCAGAATTGTCCTCGTCCTCCACTGTTCCCTCGGCCGGTTCGGCCATAAAGCATAGAATTTCGTCGTCGATTTCGTCGACGGTTTCTCCAGCGGTCTGTAGTCTTGACAATGCATCAGCTTGGCTGTTAGCCTTGCCCTTCTTGTACTTGATTTCGAAATCAAATTCCGAGAGGCGTAGCCTCCATCGAATTAATCTCCCGCTGGGGTCGGTTACGTTCATCAACGACCTCAATGAGGCATGGTCGGTATGCACAATGAAGTGCTCGCCATATAGATATGGTCTTAGAGTCTGTACGGCCCAAATTTCCGCTAGACATTCTTTTTCTGATACAGAATAGTTTCTCTCGGCTGCGGCTAACGTTCTTGAAAAGAACCCGATGGGTTTGCGTTGCGCATCCGGGTGTGTTTGAAATAGTGCAGCGCCTATTTGGTAGTCTCTTGCATCGGTATCTACCGAGTAGGGTAGGTCCTTCTTCGGCAGCGCCAACACTGGCGGTGCCAAGATGGCGTCCTTGAGCTTATGAAAAGCTTTCTTGCACGGTTCGTCGAATCCTTCCAACTGGACCGGTTGTCCCTTCTTCAATAGTTGATTGAGCGGATGCGCGATTTTCGCGTAATGTGGGACAAATCTGCGGTAGACATTGCAGAGTCCCAAGAAGCTCCTGAGCTGGGTCTGCGTTTGAGGGTACCTCACTTGTTCCAGTGCGGCGGTTCGCGCGGCGTCAACTTCCAATGTACCTGGCGGAACGACATGGCCAAGGTACTCGATCTTTTCGACGAAAAATTCGCACTTGCGAAGCTTGAGCTTCACACCTGCCTTTTCCAATACAGACAGTATTTCGTCAACGTGGACGACGTGCTCTTCCCAGGATTTGCTGAAGATGATGATATCATCTAGGTATGTATACCAGACAGCATTTCCAGCGGAACGGAGAGAGCACGATATCCATAGCTCTCTGAAACGTCGCTGGCGCATTGGTAAGCCCGAAGGGCATTCTTGAAAAACGGTAGAGACCTGAGTGGCACGAAAAAGCTGTCTTGTCGAGGTCCGCTTCCGGAATAGGCGTCTGCCAATACCCTGAAATCGCGTCCAACGCGGAAAAGACCTTGGTGTCTCCCAACGAGTCCAGACACTCATCCATGCGCGGCAAAGGGTACGTGTCCTTCACCGTTACCGCGTTTAACTCTGCGGTAGTCTACACAAAAGCGCATCAATCCGTCCGGCTTGGGCACTAATAAAACGGGCGACGCCCATTCTGACTGCGCCGGCTCGATGACTCCTGCTTCTAACATCTTCTGTACTTCTGCGTCCTCGACCTCCCGAGCCTTTGGACCGGCTCGGTAGGGAGCTTGTGCAATTGGCCTTGTATCTGGGGCCAGTTCAATCCGGTGGACCGTGGTGTTGATCTCACCAAGGGTCCCATCCCACATGCAAGAATATTTTTTTAACATCCGGCGGAATCTTCCGCGCAGCCGGTCCGGCACGTGGCTCAGGTCGAGCTCCTCCACGTCCGGCGGGGGAGGCTCAATCCGCCGCTCCGGCTTCATAGTTGCCGTTGCGGAGAGCCCTTCCTCCCGTTCTCCTGGCTGATCCTCGCGATCTTGTTCCGACGGTTCGCATCTTCTCTCGCCCGTAGGCGGCGGGGTAGAATTAGTAAATTTTTCCTCATCCCTTCCTTGAATTCCAAGTACCTCACCAATGGTGGTATTGCTCTTGAATACGGCCCTCGGGTGCGGTAGTAGTTCCGCCACCAATTGGCCTTTTTGAACCCTGACAGGGTAATTCCTAAAATTCGCATCAAGCAATCGAAAAGGTTTGTCAGGCTCAACTTGGACTACACCGTTGGTGCTTACCAGTCCGTGCTTGTCGTATAGGGGTGCGTAGGGTTGAACGACGACCAACCCAGTCCTCTTCGAGGTGCATTCGACTACGTGTTGCGTCCCTGGCTCAATGGTCGTGGCTCTTGCCACCTTCACCCTTAGGGAAACTCGCTCCCCTTTTGCATCAGTGTCGTCCTCTCTGGGGACCAAATGCTTCTTCAATTTTCTCGTCGAGAATCGCCGTACGATCGGAACCTCCGAGAAATCCGCTAACTCAACTGTCCTCTTTCGTGGGTAGATAGCCTCCACGAACCTATCGCAATAGTCCGCTCCTAGAATTAGGGGGACGGCGAGTTTTTCACAAACTATGAATTCGACTGAAGCCACGAAACGTCCAAGTCTCACAGGCATTTTGAGTGTACCTAGAGTTCGGATTGGCCTGTTATTCGCATCGCCGATGTCTTGGGTCGGTCCGAAGGACACAAGAGTTTCCATTCCTGCGGGAAGCTCGGATCTCCGGATGAGATTAGGTCCCGCGCCGGTGTCCAACACGGACAGTACACGGCTCATCAATCCGACCGTCGGTCCAATGTCCGCGAAGACTTTGTCGTTTTTCCTCGCAAGGACCAAAATCTTCTTGGGACATTCCCCGCGCTTGACCCTGTACCAGGGGCGTCGAGCTTGCTCCAGCGCGTCGTCCTTGCTTCTTCGCAGAATCTTCTTGACCTCAATGGGTCCTTTCGGGTTATCGATGATTCCAACTGTCTCCTCGTCGTCGACTGCCTCCTTCGCTAAAAGCGGGGAACGGAACTGGGTCCCGGACATGGTTCGCCGGACGCATGTCTCTCCTTTCGAATTTTTTGAGATTCCCCGCCTTAGTTTTCCTGTCGCTGCGGATTTCTTCTCCAATCCGACGACAGCCCCGCGCTCGGCCTCCCTGGTGTCCGGTTCGAACCTTCGGCAGAGGCACTCGGTGTGCCCGCCGCCTGCGATTCAAACCATTGTTTTACCTTCAGGGAACTTGTCGACGGAATTCCCAACCTCTTCATCGGGGAGAGCATCTCGTAGTTCTTCAGAACTCGGTGCATCTCTCGGAACGATAACAAACACGTAGGCGCTCCGTGCCCCTTCTCGTAGCAATGGTACCATACGAGGCCATGCTTCTTCGGAGGGTACGGCGACCTTGGCGGTCCTCGGGCCGTGGGACGGCCCGTCCAGCCCGGTCTTCTGAAGGCCGTACCCTTGTCTTCCATCGGAATTCTTGGCCCTGGCGTGTGTCCGCGCCCTCGAAACGCTAACGCGGGATCCGCGGCCTCGGTATACGATTCCGTCGTATACGTGGGCGTCTGTAGCGTAGACATCCCACTAGACCCGTGCTCCTCGTCTCCATATTCCTCGGAGGGGTCATAAAAATCGCCCTCAGCGACCAGTGCCCCCGCGTATCCATTTTCTTCCTGATCAACAGTACTAGGTCTTCTGGACGCAGACAGTGAGTCTGCCAAGTGGACAGCGCCGCGGGTTTTTCGTGTGGGGTGCGAAGACTTCTGCTTCCCCCCGTCCTTAGCGTCGCTGGCGACTGGATGGTGACTCTCCTAGTCTTCCTCTCCTTGGCGCGGCTCGCCGAGCCATGCGCCTTCACGTAATTAACTAGTCTCAAAAACGACACGTCCCGATTGTCTTGTCGTTATTGAGATACCATCGGCTTGATACTCGAATCGAGTCCTTCAATAAACATTGTCATCTGTTCTTCCATCGAATATACGTTTCCAAATCGATTGCTCGCGTCCGTCAGATGGATATAAAATTCCATCTCGTCTTCAGACGGTAGCTGCTGTACTTCCCGTAAAGCGAGTACGGCTTGGCGGATTGCCTCATCGGTGGCGAAGCTTTGCAATAGCCACTGTACGGCCTCCGGCCAGACGGATATTTTCCCATGGTGGGACCCCGCCGTTTGTGAAACCGAAGTGTACTGTCTCAAGGCGATTCTGCCGAGGAACTCCGGTAGCAAGCGGATCGCTTGGCCTTCGTTCATCTCCTGGGTGTCAAATTCTTGGACTATCTTAGCTAAAAAGTCTAGAACTAATATGCCATCGTCTCCTGTGAACGTATTGTCTCTCTTCACCTTTGGTGGTATGTCTCTTCTGATCTTTTGCACGGCGGTCCGCCGCTTGCCCGACAAACGTGTCTGCAGGTTCTGCAGGCGGTACGTCCTGTACAAAAGCAACTTCTTGAAGAGGTGATTGGTCGGGTTTAATTCCTCCAACTCCTCCCATCGCGGTTCGCGCCGCGTGGCGATGTCTTCTGGCTCCGCTTCCTTGTCTCTCCGCGAGGCGAACGAAGTGACTCCGCCTCGTTTGGAGCTCTTCTTATTTGACGAAATTCCATTCCCTTCTGTCGATCTTCGGTCGGAATTTCTTGAATGGTTCGACGAGCCGTCGTCACCATTTTCTTCTGAAACATTGGACTCCGAATTTGAGTCGCAATTTTCGCGGTCGTCACTACAGTGACTTTTCTTCTTCTTTCGGCGCTTGGCCGACTTGGGGCTCTTCCACTTGGGATCCCGGGTTTGGACTGACTTGTCCTTCTTCGTTGGACTGTCGGTTTCTTCTCCGTCGGAGAGCGATCCCGCGTCCAAACTTGGTTCGGACCGGCCCGCAGCTTGCTCAAGGTCCTTGAGTCGCCGCGAAGCGCGGTAGAACCGGTCGTCGATGCTGTCCCTTGTCTTGGCCAGCGTTTCCAGGGCCTGATTCGCGTCTCGCCGCGCTTCTTTCGCGGCGAGCTTTAGCGAATCCAGCACTTCCGGATCTCGGCCCGGGGACGCATCGGTACCTAAATTCTCAACGAGAACCACACGGGCAGTCAGCTCTTCAAGCGCAGCGTGGAACTCAGATTTTAGCAACTCCTGTTGCTTCTGAAAAATGCCCAGAAGTTTGTCGAGCTTGCTCTTCGTCTCCTGACGAATCTCCTCGCTCAACTTCTCGAACTTCTCTTCCAGGCCATTTTTGTCAACGGCTGTCCCTGAAGGGGACGCTTCTGCAACTGGATCAGTAGCCGAATTTTTCCTTAACTTCGTGTACGAGGTCCTCGCGGAATCCTCGACTCTTGAGCTGATCGAGCCCTTCTGACCCCAGGACTGACGTCCTTGGGTTGGCTTGATGCCATGGTCCGCTCTTAATAAACGAGACCTATCGAACTAATTTACCTATTTCCAACTTCCGTGTTCAGTTCCTGATTCTAGGTCGGGCTTCGTAGTTTCCAGATTCTAGGTCGGGAGACCACTTATGTAGTGCAATGTGCCTGTCAGGCCGGAACCAGGGTCCAACGGTCCAGCGACAACACAACCAACAAACAACAACCAACAAGAGTTGCCGACGGCACAGCCCTACGGAGTGTCCGATTCTCCCTTTCCCTTTAAGTGGGTTTGCGGCCCACAGTAGCTCAGGTCCCTGACAGGGGCGGGGCGGGGGGGGCAAAAGGAAGAGGCCCGCCTCGGGACGAATGGAGGTAGAGTCTTGTACAGGCAGTTGCTCGGCGAGTTCGGGCCAGTAATTAAGAAGCCGGGCCCGATGGGTCGTAAAGCCAATGCTCGCGGAGCGCCTGTTACACCTTATACCCTTGATAAGGTCTTCGACGGGGGCGTCGCAACGCAGCCCGTCGGGAATTAGCAAACACGTAGCAGCGCTACACCTCCGTACTGCCCGATGGCAAAGTACCGACGCCGGAACGGTCACAACCTGTATCCGATGGAACCAACACTGTCCTGTATACACAACAGGACCTTCGAGGGAAACGTCGTTGCAACAGCCTCCGTCGGTGGACGTAAAAAAGTAGCAGCGCTACACCCACGTGTCGCCCGATGGCCAAGACACCTACACCGGTCCGGTCGCAACCAAAGCCGATGGCACCAACAACAAACAAAAGAACCAACACAAGAGCCCGATGACTCCAGTCGTCACAACGCAGATCGCAATCAGGCACTGTGGAACCAACACAAGATAAGGGAATAGAAATAGAGATAGAAATAGAAAAGGATAGGTGAAATAAAGGAAAAGGAAAGGGAACCCCCGAACGCAAAGGATAACGTAATCTGTGGTAAAAGGGAACGTCTTGGGAAAGACGGACTTCGACCAAGGCGATATTCAACTCTGGCAACTAGGGTTACCTTTACTGACTT